AAAAAAAAAAAAAAAAAAAAAAAAATAATCTTGAATGTAAATAATACGGTTTTATGTAAAGAAATAATTTTTATATGCTGTATCCAGAATAAATTATTAAATACCGCTGTTATGCATATGGATGATGTAAATAAGGTTTAAAGGAGGAAAAGTGCTGTGTCTAAGCCAAGCCTAGTTAATGTTTGTCCTTCAGATGCTGTGTTTTCTATTTCACTTAATATTTAGTTGATGATATTTTTTCATGAAAGACTTCTAGAGCTCTGAAAAAGTGCTTTCACCTCTGCCTCAAAGTGCTCCTCTCTTGACAGGCACTTATATGTGTTTAAGATCTATGTAGATCCAGAAAAAAGGGGTTCCTTTGCTTAAGTCTTTTGAGAAGCCTGACCCAGTAGGTGATTCCAGTGCATGCCCAGCTTGCTCTGAGAGGGTTGCTCTCCTATTAAAGCATGGCTGGAGGAAGTTTATAGTTTTATATTTGAGCCCTTTCTGCAGTTTATACGAGATCTAGATTCTTTCCTCCTTAAACTGAAGAGTTGAAATTTGCTGACTCTTAACTTTGCCATGTTTGTAAATCCCACATCTTGGTGTTGCCCTGAGAGTGCTGTTAGAGTAGTTGTGTTATCAGCGGTCAGATTTTTTCAGACCCAAAGAAAATACTACAGTATTTTAGGTGCCCAGTAAAGAAACTGCTTCCTTTAAAATATAAGCTTAAAAAAAGTTAATTGATTCTGTCTATTAACAGATAATTGTCTTCGTAACAGGTATGAGCCAACACAGCAGTCCTTCCGCTGAGGAATTCTCTACGCAGTAGGGTGAACTTTGAGACTGATAATTTCTTAGCCCTTTTTAATAAGTCCAAGTGAAGTATTCTGCTGTAAAAATGAAAGTATGTGTCTTGAGGTAAAATGTCATATTATACCATTTGTGCTGCAGCAATTCATTGGTAGCTTCCAAGAGTTCGTGTATGCTTTCATTCCTAATGCAAATTCCTAACGTTTGGCCTGTAGTCATATGGTAGCGAACTGTAATGCTAAGTTAAAAGTGAAGTCTTAAAATAGGAGCAGTTCGCTACGCCATCGAAAGCATTCAGTCATCTGTGCGAAGTTCTGTGGGAAGCTGCTGCTCTTCTGAGTCCACCAGACGTTCCACCTGGCAGCAGAAAGGAATCATTAAAATGTTGGAAGTCTGAGATTTATTTTTTTTTTAATTGTGGCTGTGAAGTACCACTGACACTTAGCAAATATTAATTTATCGGTGTATTTTGAAAGTTGCCCTAAGGTGGGAATTAACCCTAGACTTGAACAAAAAGGATTGCTGCCAGATTTTAGAAATGATGGTGAGCTGACTGCGGTTGCGAACATGGCTGCAAATTTTTACTGTATCTTTTCAAGGTACTGAAATGAGAATCTTGCTACCACATACACATTTAGATATTAAATCTTACATAACAAATTATTATAAGACTGTCGTAAACAGTGGATGAAAAATAAAATCGTCAATTTTTTTTCTTCGGTTTCAATTGTCAGCCTGTCTTTGGAGAATTGGTCTCAACTATTCTCCGTTCTTTTAATCTCTGTAAAGAGTAACTTATTTTCCTTAATTCTAATTAAATTAGTGTCTCTCCTCATGAATAAAGTATAGTCTTAAATGATAATTGTAGTAATTAAGTGTGAATGCTAACTGTCTTTCAGCCCAAGTAAAGAAGTTGATGTATAATTTTATTCCCTTAAAATGAGTTTTTATAGATGTTCCTCCAGAGGTCTAACTGTATCATTGGTTGCTCTAGTTCCAAGTATTTATGAGTAATTAATTTGGGCTTTTATATATATTTATTTCCACTTGATTAACAAATTTCCATCTGGTACCTCAATGTTTCTTGAAAAGAATCTTCTATTTCATTGCTTCAGATGACATTTTTTGTCAGTGGTTTATTTTCGGCAGGTTGGTCTGTTTCTGTTTTGTTCCAAAACCAGAACCAGATTGAAGAGAAGCTGTATCGGGCTCTGTTTTCTGTCGTGGTCCATATGGTTTTAAGTTGCTGCTTTTTATTGAGATGTGATTAACTCTTATCCTAATATCTGATTGACTTAGTACAACATCTGCACAGGGCGACTTGATTGTCATCCTCCTCCCCCCTTTCCTGAATTCTGCATGGAAAGGTTGAACTTTCAAACACTTTTACATTAAGACAATGTATGGTACTTAAAAACAGGATACGCGCTTAGGGTTTGGGTACGTTGCTTAAGCACAAAACCATGACTGCTTGTTGATTGCATGCTATTTATATTAAAATCAATTCATATGTTCTCTAAAAATTTGGAAGATTTGTGAAATGTTTTAAAACCCCAGTCAAGTGAAAGAAGGCACTGCTCCCTCACTGTGTGTCTGTAGTAGAGTATTAGAGAGGCAAATCTGTTAGTCCATCATCTGGGTATTGAAAGGAGGTGAAAAAAAATGTAGTTAATAAATAGCTTAGAAGAGCTGCTCTTGTTGCATTTAACAAAATAGAGCTTGATGTTTTTTCATGGTGCACAATATAAACTAGCATTTTTGGTTTCTGTTTAAGCTTTTGATAAATGGTAGATGTTACTGAAATGTTTGAATCCATCATTCTCAGAAGATGTACATTTAAGTTTGTCTTTAAGTTTGTAGGAGAGCATTGGTTTGCTTCTGTTTTTCATTAAGCTTCTTAGTCAATATGGCACGATGAAAGGAATTGAATGGTGAAATGGTACAGTAAAATGCAAGGGCATTTGATCAATGGATAGCAGGTGGTTTAGACTGTTTTAAATAGTTTTTTTATACTTTTATTATATGGGAATTTTATGACTTGTGGTGCTGATTATCAGTCTCCTCTTACTGCTGTTCCCTTTGCAGGAGTCAGTGGAAAAGTGTTACAGTTTTCAGTTGAGTAAAATTAGGAAACGCACCTAATGGGATTAGGCTGGAGTGATAACTAATCTGAGTTGTGTCAGTTTAGTTCGTCGCCGTTCTGACTTGCTGGAGTGGTTACGGCTTTCTAGTTGAATTGGCTTCAGGTTTTTTTAACCTTGATTTATCAAAATAATTAATTTCTACTTTAATTTTCTTTGCAGCAGGATCTTCTTTCACTAGCGCTATGCTTCTGTGTGTGGTCTAACCCGAGTTCTTAAGATTGAATACTTGGGAGGTTTTGATAAAAAGTTATCAACTACATTCCTGACATGGCCAAAGGCAGTGCTTGGAAGAGTCGCCAAAATCGTGATGGAGTATACTCCATTAAATAGTCCTGGAGTAACAGGGTTCCCCGTGTGCATGGTGCATCACCTGGTAGATTTTTCCGTCACTGACTTTGATAGGGTATTTCCCACTTCCAGGTCTTTAACGCTGATAAGGTGTCTGCAAAGGATTGTTTAAAGAGACTGTGTTCTAAAACTCAGCTTATTCCACCTGCCCTGGCCAGTACTTCATGAAAAACTGCATACAACTTTGCATAAAAATAGAAACCTGCAGAATAGTCTGCTGTTGTTGCCGATGCAGTGAGCAGAGATTAACTCAGATGATGAGCTTCCCGGGGACAAATACCAACAACTGCTTAAAACAGGTGCTCTGAAAGTTAGTCAAAATGTTTATGGAGCTTTGGTGTCCTATTACATAGTTTAGTCACTGAAGTAAAAGTAGTTTTGCTAAATATTTCCCTATTTCTGTCAGGGCTTCAAGGTCAAAGCTTGTTTTTAAAAAAAGAGATTTTTCACTGTCAA